ATATATATATACACATATATATATATATAAGTGTAGTATTTGAAAAGAAGAACATAATGCTTGCTGACTTACATCGAATTCGTTGAGGGCAGCAGCCAGCTCTCCGATGCCGGCATGGCCATGCTTCTCGTCAGTGGGTGAGGTGGCCTGAGCAGCACTGGAAATGCCTCCTATGGCCTCCTGCACCTGCTTGAACACGTAGTCCCGGTTAGCACGTGTGGCCGCCACATCTGGGTGGCGCAGGAAGGCCTGTGAGGCCGTGTACAGCATGGTGGCGTTTTTCTTAAGGGCCCCGCGTGCAGCTGCCATCTCATCTCGACACTGGGGGTCTTTCAGCTCCTGAGGAGGCAATAAAGGTTCTCAAGTAAGCACTAATAACCAGTCAGTCCTTCAAGAAAGGTCAGCGCATATTTCAGAATTAAGAAAGACCCTACACAATAAATGTAACGGCAAAAGAGTGCAGTATTTTGTATATTGTATTATGTATGTGTGGAATATTGGTCAAGAGCTGCAAAAAGCACCGTTGACGGAATCAATGATTCGCAATAGAGCCAAGCAGAGCATGAACTGATCCCATTTTAAGACATTTCATGTCGAAACAAAAGTTCATGTCCCATCTGGATTGGTATTGTTCCAACCACACAAAGTTAGGGCAGTGTCAGCAGAACAGCAACCCTGGAGCTGGGTGGAATTCAGCTCAGTGTTTTGCTGTGGGACAGTTCAGCGGGGTGGACACTTGCCAACATGACACTTGTAGGGGACACATCTTCTAAAAGCTTTTTGTCACACTGGGGGCCATGCTAGATATTCCAACACTTTCATGTGTTATTCTCCTGGGTGAAATAAGCACTGATGCGGATATCTGCTCCTTTACAGTCATATGATGAAGTTATTTTGAATACTATGAAAAAAAACACTACTGTGCTATGGAATTTCTAGCTTTAAGTTATTTGCCGTACATTTCAGGTAAAACTAATCATACAGTAATAACCTGCAACATTTATGTTTTGCTAAAATCTTACGCTTTTTATTTCCTATCAGCTGTAACTAATAACATAAAACGTAAATATGTTCATGAAATAAACCACTTTGAATGTGTTGCAATCCTGGTTGAATAACTTCACAACTATTAGTACAATAATTGATGAGGTTCCTTTCCTGCTTAAATAACTATTTCCCCCCCCCCCCCCTCCAGAAAAATATGATCATCTTGTTAATCACATGACGATGGCAGCGTGTGTGTATGTGTGTGTTGCTATGAAAGCTAGCCTCTGATGTGCAGATATAACTGCACATCATTATGGAGTTGGCCAATATATTTTTCAGAATCTGACACTAAATGACTTTTGCTATTCACTGATTGATGTCACAGGATTCCCTCGTCTCAGCGTTTTCTTACAATGGCCTGAACTCATACAATATTAAACCATTGACTGCATCTTCAGCTGTTCACCAATAATCTGCTGTGCACTTACAACCTACATATGAAGTTTAGAAATCGCCAAGCCAGAGGAAGCCCGAGCGTAGACACTTTCTCCTAAAGGAACTCCCTGTACCTGAATTTACTTTTTCTTTGAAAGACAGAGAAGAAGACAGGGAGCTTCCAGATACCTGCTGCCTCCGAGCTGCCACATAGTTCAGCTTCACCATCTCCTTCCCAAACTCCTTGAAGCGGTTTGCCAGGTCCTGCTCATTGGTCGCATTCTTTACTCCCTCCAGGGCCTCCTCCACCTGTAACACACAGACACACAACTAGAATAATGGATCTTCCAAAACACTTAGTTGATGCACTTGAAAACTAGCATACATTGATCTATATAGTGTGATTCTGTAACATGCATAAAACCATAAATGTTACAACATACATTAAAGTAAAACAATAACAGCAACTGGGTTTTTAACAGCATCAAGCATTTAGTTGTGCACTTTTAATGGGTCTCACTTCAGCAATCTCCACCCCTTTTTACGGGTACACTCCCATTCTAAACTCCTTTATATCCCTAATGAAAGTGATGCACCAGATGTAATGGAAAAGAGAGAAGAGCGAGAGAGATAACTTTTAAGTGGCCTTTGATGGCATAGCTTATACTGGCTAGAGTTAAGTCCCTCTGTGGGCCTCAAGAGTGAAGCTTGGAAGAGAGGACTGTGAGTGTGTGTATGTGTGTGTGTGTGTGTGTGATAGAGAGACAGTGAGTGAATGAAGGTGCATGGAGGCCCGAGTTTGATTCAGATCATGCCAGTTGCATATCATTCTTCCTAACACTCTGTATTACCTTCTCTTTCAAAGCCTGAGCCATTTTCACAATAAAGGACTACGAAACCTGTGTTCTACAAATGACTCTACAGCTGACGAGTGGGAGGGGTATGTTTGGTTTATCACACCAAGGCACTATAGTATGATATTAATACAGTACAATCAGAAGTGTGGTCGCAGGATATTCCTCCATGCCTCATCTGTATGCTAATGTTTGCAGAGGCTGTGATGAAAGCATACATTGCTGTTGTGGACTATACAACAGAGGAAGACCTTTTTTTTTGAACATCTGACGAACACCAGTGTACTTGCAAGTCTTATTGAGACACTTGATTCTATCAGTTGCAAAACAGATTTGGGGATGAATCTGTTATGTCCAGGCACGCTACATACATTAACATGAGTATTCTAACTCTAACACAACATAACCATTAAGTGTAACCCCATGGCTTCATATCTCTATGAGGTCACAGGGTCAGTACACTTAGTTCTTCGGGAAGAGGAACAGTATATCTGTTTTAAAATAAGGTGACGGTCGCACTTACAATTTTAAGGTGGGCCAGCAGCCGCATGACATCAGCCATGTCAGCGAGGATGAGCAGGCGGGTGACAGCAGAGAGCAGGGCGCGGGCGGCCCTCACCATGGTGCCACGTTTCACAGAGGAACACGGGTCATCGGCAAACTCTGACGAGGAATTACGCATCGTCTCTCCTACAAGAGGAAAGGGAGACATGATTATATCTCACCCAATAGCAGACAGTATGTGATCATCTGTAAGTGAGTATATGTATGTGTGTATTCTGTATATACACACTCTGCATGTATACATTGTTTAACACCAGTTGAAGACAGAGGTCGTGGTATGACTACATTGAGATGACTGATTGTTCCTTGAATCTGTGTCTGCCCTGTAAATAACCGGTTTAAGGCCCACTACTGACTTGCTTCATCCGATTCAGAGCTCATGAAACTGTGTTTGCTTGTTAGGAAATACATCTCAATTTGGCCTGCTCCAGTTGACTCAAACCCACATGAGCACAGAAATCAATGAGCTTGTAACCTAGAAGACTTACAGAATGGTCATGAGTGCTGAGCCATCCCCTCTACATAACGTGCTGCAAAGAGGTTCAGTTGTGATTCAACCAGTTCACCTTGGATCATCTAACGTACCAGAAAAGCAGCAATTCCTTTGTCTCTGATCAAAATGCATCCCTCACAGCTCTAACCATTAATACAAACTGCATAAACATGTTTATTTATTGTTTTAATACAAGTTTATTTGTTTTAACGCCTTTTTCCATGTTTATTTACCACAAACAATTTAGTTTTGATGCAACTATACAACTACCCATTTCTTGGAGTCATATTTTTTGTTTTGATTATAAATCATATTCTGATACATTCGTGGGATCTAAATACATTCCTTTCTCTTATGAATGGATGTTGAATTTGTATTCTGAAAAAATCTTTTTTTGGGAACTATTGTTATTAATCTGATGATGATCAGCTGTGATAAGAGGAAGGGGTGGGGCCGAGTCTGGGGTTTTTCCTTCGTGTAGAACGGGGCATCAGCACAGTCTTTGACCTCACGTAAGACTTATTATGTTTTTGTTTGTTGAAAGTGTTTCCAGTACACCATGCTTTACTCCAACGTTTTTCAGCTACCTTGCCTTCATCAGGGTAAGAGTGCCAGCTCTCAGCATTAATTGAAAATACTGAGCAAGAGTGCACAAAAAAAACAGGTGAAAATGCACCAGACGCATCCTAACATCCATACACAAGGCAGGCACTCAAACACAGATTGGCGCTGATAGTGCCATGAGTCTGCCTAGCCCAGTGATATAGTGAGGAGTGACAGTACAAAGGGCCTGATTACTGAACCCCTCTGTGGTCTGAAATCAGCATCCATAATTGAATCATGACAAGATAAAGGGGTTTGGGATGATGAAGTCACGATGACACGGGTCTGATGAGGTGATGGCGTATTTAAGAGTGACCTTAACTAGGCCAATGATGCCATCTGGGGACACATCTAGTGGCTGCTAAAGGTCGCTTTGTACAGTGAACATAGCACATTTCTGGCCTCAGAGGTCCAAAGGTATTAATATAAAATAATTCTCCCTGACATGTAATAATATCCAACTTAGGAAAAAAGTGTATGAAGAAAGAATGAAAAGAGTGTCACGTCAGCAGCCCACGTCTGTGCTGAAGGGCTAGTGAGCGTGCTCATCTTTTCATAATGGCAGTAAAAGGTGAAGAGATGTGGAGCATTAACTTTCATCTTGTTTTCTGGTGATGGTCAACCAAGGTCTTTTCCTGAGATTGGTGCAGGGTACTGAGTTCCATTCATTGCATTTTTTTCAAAGGGCATAACGAGCAGTGTAATTATTCATGAGCATCAGTTCAAAACAGGCCCAAAGATATACAATGTCTTCCATATAACCTTTTTTTGTTTTTAACAGCCTTCCTTTGGTTTTGTCTCACATGCCAAACAGGTTGGACAATTGATTCTGTCCTTTTTGATGTCAGCTGTGGTGATGACCTGTGTGGCAACAGTCAATTTCACGCCTCAAAAGAGCTGAGTGCCAATATATTCAGTGTTCAACAGTGGCGGCGGCCAAGAGGAGCTGACAGTGCAGGATGAGGAATACCCCTACAACACAACATGCGCTTTGCTGAGCTACATTTGCTCTTTCTGCTGATGCAGTTATCGAACGGGGAATCCAATTCCGTTCTGGGGACAAACATCTGATTCACATAAAGGCACACTGACCGAAGAGAAACTTTGAAAACTGTGACACTGACCCCTGAGAGCGAGAGCTCCCCCAAAGACTGAGCATGATTTGTTGAAGTGAAGAGTTGTTGCTAATGAAAGTGGGCTTCTTTAATGTCTTACAATTCAGCAAGGCTCCCCACTATCACAGACAGTCGAAGCTCTAACGATGCATGACTTTAGGGTAAACAACTCCAGAATTAGGCTCATTACATTCATGAAGCTGCGTGCGCCAAGTAAAGCCCAAAGCTAATGGGTACTAATCTGTTATATTTAATGGATTTGCCTTGCCACTCTTAACTCTACAACGGTTTAAAGCGCACACAACTTTAAACATCTGACTTATCCTGACAGTCAGAGCACTTAATACGCTTCCAAACATTATAATTTGTATAGCAATTACTCTCCTTGGGTAGCCCCTCAATGCTAGAAAACAACATTGGCATTCCAGTCCTTTTTACAGCAACTGGTTCCAGCAGTGCCAATTATTTCAGTTCCACTCAATATCTGTCAAATGTAAAATTGTGTCTGCATAGGAACATCCAAACGAGCTCACCTTGCTTACGGACGTCCTCGACAGCAGAAATGAGCTCCTCCTTGAGGTCGTGGCTGTCTTTGGCAATCTGCTCGCCCTTTTCCAAGAAGTTCTGGGTGGCCTGCTCAACAGACACTGCCAGGACATGGGCCTTCTTGGAGCGCCCCTTCTTCTTACTGGATGGCCCTTTGTTGCTGGTGTTCACCAGGGTGGTCACCTGGGGAAAGAGGAGAGGTCATTACAGTTGGTTGAGTGACATTAACAGCATGTGAAACACAACACGAGGGTGAAAAAGTGCAGCTTTTATGCATTTGCAAACAGTAGTCCTGGCTATGGCGGTCATGGCACACTGCCATTGTGGAGATCAGCCACAGGCTTGACTTAAGCATTGCTCTCCTAACGTTGTAAAACAAAATATAATAACTAAATAAATATAAATGTTATTTACTGTCATAGATTTTGGAGAGCCTACACTGCAAAGAGTCAATAGGATGATGTGTTACTGAACCCAACACAATTTATATAATTGTTTTGGGTAAAGTCAGCATTTTGCAGTATGTTTTGTAGAAGAAATGCAATAAAATACTTTCCATGAAAGCTTCTATTATAGTCAAAACAAATGTCTGTATTAGACTATAACTATTAATCTCTCCCCACAGCAGTCAGGAGGATGACATGCAGGGACATGTGTTTCAAGCAAACACAATGTGTGTTAATGTTATTGATGCTGGAAGTGTCAGGAGAATAAAAGACACATTTCACACATCCTCACTTCAGGCTAAAAGCTTTTACCTAATCAGCAGTCGGAGAGTTCACACTCAAGACCATGCAAGCCTCATGGTATAGAAATATCTGTTAAGCACTTGGAGAGAATACAGCCATGCACTGAGAACATGCGTTTGGTTTGGTCAGACAGCAGCCGAACTTGCACAATCGGGTGATATAATTAGTTTGCTGACTATATCAAACGGCCTTCACTCTAAAAAGCTGCTAAGAGCAAAGTTATGTCCCGTCTCGGCTGCAGTACTTCAGGGCTTCTAGACTGGAATAAAAGCGTTAATGATGTATGTCCTTTCTCAGGATGCAGTCAGGAATAGCAGGGCTGACACGAGACCGCTCTAGTCTTTTGAAACTATTTGGACTAAAAAATAATTCATTATTTAACGACATCGTTTTTTTTTAAAATCTGTATTCAAAGCCGCCCAGACAACTAACTTTGATACATCTGTTTACCGTCAGCTCATCTGCTCTGCATCACCTGCCACAGCTGAACGAGCGCTCATTATGAAGTGCAGCCGTGTGTTTATTCCAATCTAAGTTTGTTGAATCAATAACTCGTCATTATATTTACACATGAAAGCGTTCACAAACCTGCGACACAAACTCCCCTCTGACCACACAAGAAGCCCAGATCCACCTCCACCACCACCACCACCACCGACAGACACATGAACAAATACACTCCCTATCCTTTCAGGTTCCACCTCACAGACTGCAGTGAGAAGTCTTGTGATTGTTGTTCAGCAAGCTAATCAACAGCACACACAGTGTCCAGGCCGATTTAATGGCAGCTAGTGGTGCAAAACATGTGATTTCCTTCAGCGCAGGTCCTTAAAGGAACATTGTGTAGGATTTAGGAGGATCTCTTAGCAGAAATGGAACATAATATTGATAACTATATTTTAGTTGGTTGCCATCTGCATACTCGCCACTAGATGTCACTAAATCCTGCACACTGCTCCTTTAGCTACCATATTATACATATATATTATTACACTAAGAGTCTTTGATACACCTGGGAATGAGGAAAGCAAATACTGTTTTATGATTGGCTATCAAGTGTCTTTTTAAATCATATATCAGGACACCACAGATACAGTTAAGCCACTTATCATTCAGTATGCTAGTTTTTGTACCGCCTCATGGTGTTGATAGTTATTAGGCCACTATAGAAAAAAACAGTCATGAATAGTCACATAGGCTACATAAAAAAACATATGCTATATACATATGCTACAGAGCAAGGAAAACAACATCAACACACTAACTATACCTACATGCACAAGTTAATTGCATAACACATTGTCCACCTATTTACATCCATAACTATGATATGATACACGTACACCCAGTGGCCCCCTCACCAGGCGACCCCGTACTCCAATAAAGCGGCCCTGCAGCTTTGAGTGTGGACACTTCATTAGACTCACCCAGCAAAGAGTCCTCTGAGTGCATATAACCTGCGTTCATGTGTACCATGCATACATAAACCCACATACATTTTTAAATCATTTCCCAAATGCAGGGTTAAACATGGAGGACTGACTTGATTTTATTTCTACTGAAAGTCTTTTCCACTCTAATGTTGCCAAGTAGGGAAAGGTATTTTGCCCGTAACATGTCTTAAACTTCCATGGCACGATGTCTGTGGCCCTGCACATGCTAATTATCTATGAGAGCCCCTAACTATCCCACAATAATTCTTAAAATACCTTGGCTCATTACCCTTCAACAATCTTATACGAGCAAGTCACAATTCCTGCCTTACCCTATTTTCTACCGTCAACCTTTTTAATTCCTTGAATTGGAAAGGGCCAACGGGAGAAAATGGAGCTACGGTTCAGTCGCACCTTTAGTAGTTTATTTTGAGCTGTTTGAAGTTTAGTTTTAATCCTCCTTGGGCTGCTTCTTCACCTTGTAGTACAGGCATAGTCAAAGTGAGGCTGTATTAAAACTGAGGCTAACTCAGGGTTTACTTATCCAAAAATTGGGCCTGAAATTAGATTGTGTGGTTCACCTTGGTAATGTTTTAGCCACAGTGTCGCCCACTGTAATACTGAGCTCCAAGAATCTACTCAACCTTACTTGAGAAGCAAATGATATAGATTCAGTTTTCCCAAGGTGCAAAGACAATTAATTTTCAGTTAGTTACTGATGTTTTTCAATTCATCACTTCCCTGGTTTCTTCTTCTGGGTAACCAGTAAAGCCAAGTCGTCCTCATAGAGAAAACAGTGATGTACGCAAATAGATTTCACGTCATTAATGTATAACAGAAAGAGCGAGGACCTAGGACCAAGGACCTTTCCACAAGTACGAGGTAGCCAGTCAAAGAGAAGACAGGAAGCACAGTTCTACACATAACTTGCAAGGAGTACATTATTTGAATAGCTTAATAAATGCACCACTGGACAATTAAATACAAGCCTAGACCTGCGTGAGGTTGGATGTTTAATATCATTTCATCAATGATCACTTTGTGCTTTATAAAGTCACATTGAGGTTCATTGTTTAGAAGAGTAGAGTTCGTGGGAGGCATCTGCCTTCATTGCAGCGTCAATAAAAACATAAGTTTCATTTATTTGGCACTGTTCATGGTGGCAATAACATCACGCTGAAATAATGTTTGCAGTGCACCTGGTCTTTTGAAAAACAGCTGAAGAATATAATGCCATTTTAATCAAGCAGGGCAATCATTTTGGCTAATGACATCCATAAGTTGGCTGCCCATACCATTACACAGTAGATCCACGGGCAGCAGCAGCCAACAGGCACAACGGCTGTCAATATGTCTGTAGTCATTGGGATGAAAGATACGTCGTTTGATCACATGCTGTTTGTAATTGCTTCATGTTATGGGTTCTGTGTCCAGGGTACCAGCTCACTGGATGTATAACGTGGGACGGGATTTTTGAATTATAAGACTTATATGTTTTTTTAATAATTTAATTAAAATAAATGCCTTTTAACAAAGTTCAGGGATTTATTCAATTCTGCAAAGCCCCAGAGATTCAATGGATGCAGTTCTGTGGAAGTAGTAATTATATTAGAGAATCCCACAGTGACATGAATTGTAGGCAAACTGCAAACTTTGGGTGCTGTCTGTTGCAGCCTCTACCTTCTTCAGATATGTTAGCTCGGAGATTAGGGGTCAAGTGTATGGATTTATTTCATCTTGGCTGAATCCAACTTTTATACCTACATCATGCATTTTGCAACAGAGAATGAGAACATACTGAGTTATGGGTCTACATAATTCATCTGCACTTCAATTGCTCATTTATTCATTAACACAGGTCTGGGCCGTGGAATACACGGGGTGTGTTATATGTCATGTAGCTTTCCACAGAGATCCAATCAGTAAAGTCAAAGCTTGTTGATGCTTTGTTCTGCAACAGTGACTTAAAAAAAAAAGCTTGATGTATATTTAATTATGCCGCAATAACCTCACAGGATGCACTGAGGCAAATTTAATTTATCTACCTTCATACAGATTTAACTGTTCTATTTTTATGATATCTCGCTGCACGCAGATGCCTCGCCGCATGTCCTCAGAATGAGCTCAAAAGAAATACAGCGGAAACAGCTGCAAACTGATAAAAAACATGAATTATGGGTCTCTGTCACAGCAGACATTTTGGCTCATCATAGTAGGAAAAGCAGAGGTGTTACCAATAATATTAACAATGGCTACATGGTATTCAAGTCTCACAATCAGCCTCATGATGGTGTGACAGTGAAAAATGCACAATACAGGACCTTGTAATTCGTCAACCCTGGTACAAAATGGTCACAAATATGTAATACATGTACTAGAAAGAAATAAAAAAATAGGGTTTACAAATGTGGATAACGATTTGTGCGTAAATTGTGGTTTAACGGGGGAGACGCAGTTTTGGCAAGCCGTTTTTAACGTTCAAAAGCTAGACTGGTTATGTTTTGCAGATTTGTTTACTCGATACATGTTGCTATTTTAGGATAGAGCAGCATAGGATCCATCCTGTTCTCTCATAATGCCACAGGGCCTAGTGTAGCACTGTGTAGTCAAATGATGAATGGTGTCATAAAGCTATGTTGTGTATGTCACGACTTTAACAAAAAAGTCTCAACCCGTCAATAACTATTGCAGGAAAACACAGACTAATCAAATCCATCAGGGAAGAGGTAGAAACAAAAGAAGTTTTGCGAAAATAAATGAAGTGGGGCATAAAGTTTTTGCAGAGTTCATCCAAATGTGGCCTAATGCGAAACTAAATAAATCCAGTGAAAAGTGCAAGGCAGCCTTGCACTTTTCTGCCAGCTGGTAATTGCCCATGGGCAAGCCTATTTATTGTGTATTAGCAGCACAGCTTGGACTTTATGCTAAAACACACTGTGGTTATTTCCATACAGCCACAAGTTATGTCATGCCTCAGGCTTAGCCCCGAACACACACACCA